TAGGAGGCTGCTAGGCTCAGCTCAGGAGGACACTGAGGGTCAGTGTAACTTAGTTGTCGAAACCTCGATCAGGTTGGTGATCCACCATGGATTTCAAGGCCTCCACTGTATCAGGATTAATTAGGATCGGGAGACAGAATGGAGAGTAGGGATAGGACCCTGGCTCTGTGATTCTGGCACTGTCATGGGGGAGATGGGTCATTAGCAGAAATGACCCAGACAAATGTAATCATGACCCAGTGCTGTGAGGGAAAGTTTTCTGATATTACAGAAGCGGATAACCAGGAGACCTATGGGTCCCCTTCCACTGGTCTCCATCTAATCTGAAAGATGAAAAAGATAATGGCATCTGAAACAGAACAATTATGCACAGTCATACAACAGGAAAGATCTCTTGGAAATTAAAAATATCATCATAGAATGAATAATTCAGTAGACAAACTGGAAGATTCATGTTGTTCTCCTACTCCAATTGTTCTCTCCACAATTGGAAAAGTGTGGGGAAGCTGGAAAAAAGACCTCTTGGTCTGTCAGTCAAGGGATCCCAACAAGTTTACAATATCTGTCTAAAAATAATGAGGAGTATGAAATGAATTTTAACATTTTCAGGAATATTTCTCAAAGTTTACAGATAACAAATTATATTTTGAATGGCCTGATCAAATTCTTACTACAGCAGATAAAAACAGACCCACACCATGACACATCACAGTGGAATTTCAGAAAGAAGGTGGGAGGGACCTTGAAACATTCATAATTGGAAATATCAATTTGGAAAAACTCAAGAGGCAGTAAATATGGGCCTGGAGACTAGAAGATGTTGTTACAATGTCTCCCACATTCTGCAGAAAAAAATTATTTCCAACACAGAGTTCTATATCCCATCAAGATGTGAATAATGGCTAGGATGGCCTACAGTTTCTTCATGTATTTAGAGTTTTAATAGTTAACTCATCACATTCTCTTTGGGAAATACTACCAGACAAAGTGGAAAAAATGAGGGAGTAAACAAAAAAAGAACCTGTGGGATCCAGGTGACAGGGGAGCCAGAACAGGAGAGGCCAGGGCTGCCTGGGGTGAGGTGACAGACATCCAGGGTGTCTGTCTAGCTCCTGGTATGCAGGGACCCAGCCCACGTGTGGCAGCACCAAGGCCTGAGGACAGGTGTCTGTAGAGAGGAAAGTGGTTGAATATCTGATGTGCTTAGATATGTACTCATGGAGATTTAGACTCTGGGGTGAGTCATGGAATGAACTTGGGAAAGCAGACAGAGCAGCCTCATTGCTGACACAGGACCAGATACAATGGTCACCTTCCCTGAATCCTAGCACTGATCAATCAATGGAGACCTGGAGCCTGAGTTCCTTAGTGGCCTCTACAACCCACACCCTAGAGGCATTGGGGGATCAATTCACCTGTTACTCGGAGTTTGGTGCTACTTCCTTAAATAAATTTTCCTCTCCTTTTTGTTAATCCTCACTGTAGGACATTTTTTTTTCATTGATTTCAGGGAGAGAGGGAGAGAGAAACATTGATATTTCCAAATATGAAGCACACTGTTTAATTACTGCAGAAGGTATTCTCTTATTCATAACTTTACTTTTTTAAATGTCATATTTAATTCTTTTTACCACATGCACCCATTCTGGCAGACTTGGAAAGTAATGAGACTTCATCTCACACCAAATTCTTTCTCCTTCCCTGCTGCCTCAGGTTATGAGGGGTAAGAGAGGAATTCCCATTCAATGAGAGAGAGAAATGTGAGTGACACTCACACGCAGTAACCATATGGGAGGGTGACGATATCCCAGCAGAACTTCCTGAGAGGCTGGCACCTCTTGAAGGGGGATTTGAAACAGGACAAGTGTGTGTGTGGGGTCACTGAAGAGCAGACACTTCTCTGTGTCCTTCTGTCTGTAGCTGCATGTGTGTCTGTCATTGGATCCCATTTCATGATCCGGGATTTTTAAGTCATAACCGAATACTGCATGGCAATTCACACTCCTGTCCTCACACCCGACCCTAAATCCATAGACATACAAGGCTGGGTCAGGTTCCTAAAGGACAGGAACCCTTTCTCTCACTAATGGGGACTCCTGGGCACAGGGACCTGCAGGGACCCTCCTGAGTCTGGCCCCACCTGAAACACCCCCAGCACTTCCCCACCTCCCACCTGCCCAGCCCAGGCAGGAGGGGCAGCTCAGGACCAGGCAGGCTCAGCATAGCCCCACCCAGGGCACTGCCCACCCACAGGTCCCAATCCCTCCTGGGTTGACCCCTCCCTGTTCTGCCCTGAGAGTGGATGCAAGGCAGCCCTCACCTGGCTGGTCTGTGCTCCACAGCTCTCTGCAGGGACCCATCAGGCAGGGTGGCTCCTGACCCGTTACAGGGACAGAACACGTGGTCCTGACCTCCCCACAGAGATGCCACAATTGGTCACTTCTCATGTCAGGGACACCGTGTGCATGGGGACCCTGGGTGTCTCTGACTTAGAGCAAACTTGTCCCATGCAGATCACCCTCAGACACATCTGGTGACAGGATAGAGGTCACCTTTACTGAGACGCCCTCAGGAGCAGTGGGCAGGAGGCAGAGAAAGTGTCCCCTGTGTCTGGGGAGAAGCTGAGCTTAGAGTCACATGCCACTGGGGTGCAGGGACATCTGGGCCAGGAGCTCTCATCATGGTGTTTCTCGCTGGGCCCTTTCCTTCAGCTCCTACTCTTGTCCAAACTCTGTCCCCAAGTACCTCATACTAGTCAACTTAGCACTTTTTTTTTAACCTAAAACAATTATTTCATTATTTTTGCTTTATTTTTTTTCCATCACCATTTACCCTCTCCCCACATTCCACCCCCACCCCTAGGCAATTTCCACACTGTTGTCTGTGTCCATGAGTTAATTTAAAACAAATTTTCAGTTAAGTTACACTTAACATACAATATTGTATTAGTTCCAGGTATAAAACAGAGTGATTAAACATATATACATCTTATTAAATAATCTCCCCATTATATTTAGTAACCATCTGACACAATATATAGTCACAACAATATTACTGCCTACTTTTCCTGTTCCTGTGCTGTACTCTACACCCTACTAAGAAATGTCCAGGGCTGATACAGTACAACCACCATATTTTCGCTGACTTGGGTGGAAGTTATGAGGGGAGCTAAGGAGGGTGAGTGTAGAAGTGGTGAAGAGCACAGCAGGACAATCTCAGAATATCTCCCTGTAAGTTACAAGTGAATGACAAACACCAAATGGTGACTGTATGACGGGGAAACATGGCCGTTACCATGCTGGGTGAGTCACCAAGGTGAATGTCACCACTGTCGGGACAGGTGGTTCAGTGTCCAGTCCTTGTTCTTTCTTCTTCCACAATCCTGGCTCCCTTGGTGGCCTCATCCATGCTCATAACTTTAAATGTTATTTTCATAGCATCAGCTCCAAGTCTATGTCTCCAGCCCAGACATTTCTCCTCAAGGTCCCCACACTCATCTGTCCAACCTGACACCTCACTGGTGGTTCTAACAGATGTCTCAACTTGACCTTCTCTTCATCTGAATTTTTGAAAAACCCACCCCTCTACCAAACACGCTCCTGCCAGAGTCTTCCCACTTTCTGCTTATACTAACCCTGCTTTTCTGCTGGCACAGAACAAAGGTGGGGTGTCCCCCTTGACTCCTTTCCCACACCCCAGATTGAATCCTTAGGAAATGTTGTGAAGGATTCATCTTCCCAATGCATTCAGTGTCCAGTCCCTTCCCACTGTTTCCACCACTCATAGCTCCATCAGAACACCCAGCACCTGCAGCCTGGACCCATGGGAGCTTCCCCACACCTTTCCCTCCTGCCTCACTGGTCCCTTGTCTCCTGATTCTGTTCTCAGCCCAGCAGCCACAATGATCCTGTAGCCCGAGGGCTCTCTCTTGAGGAGGAACTCTCAGAAGAAGCCATTAAGGACATCAGCTCCTTGGTCATGACCTTCCAGGACTCAGCATCCACAGAATGAGAACAGTGTCTGCAGTGGATTAAGGACAATGGACTCTGGAACAGCTCTTACTTTAATCAGGTGTTCTCACCTTCTGCTTGGTCAGCTCTCTGACCCCACACAGACACCCCTGAGGTCTACTAGAGGGGGGCCTGGAAGTTAGCGGTGCCTCATAGGCAACATGGCAGCACTCAGTTAGAATCAGGGGACTCAACCAGCCATGGCCAGAGGCTCTACAAGGTCACATTCGATGTGCAGGAGGAAACCCTGAATTGCACACAGAGCACAGGTGGTCACAGGGAACATCACTGGGGAGCTGTGCATCCCCTGCACACAGGGCACTCATTCTGTCCCACTCAGGTTGTCTCCATGCCTCATTGTAAGTTTCTGAACTTGAAGTTACTTACCTTGTTTTGCTGTACATAATTCGCACTTCTGGCCCAAATATTTGAGGGGAAAATAAGGATGCACATTTTACAGGGGTAGTACTAATTCTGCATCATTGACATTGACGAAGAGTTCTTGGTCTTCTATGATGAATACATATCATAAATTTGTTATTGGTATATAAAATTTCTTGTACAATAATGTGTTAAAAATAAACACGAAATTCCTTTATAATGCAAATAACAAGTATATAAATATAAATTAATTAATTAAAAAATAAACTAAGCCCTAGTGGGTGCAGCTGAATGGTTGATTGACAGTCTGCAAACCAGAGAGTCGCTGGTTTGATTACCAGTCAGGGCACATGCCTGGGGTTTGGGCCTGGCCCCTGGTGGAGGGTTTCATGGGAGGCAACCACAGATTGGTGTTTCCCTCTCTTTCTCCAATCCTTTCACTTTGTTTAAAAATAAATAGTTAAAATCTATAAAAGTAATAATAAAATAAAATAATTTTTTCCTTGAAAATGGGGGCCAAAGCCATATTTTGCTCCTCATCACAGCAAAATGTGGTAGAACACCTTAATATGGTGAAGGTGTAGTTACAAAAACACCTACCAGGTACCATACCCCTTCCAGCCTTTAATCTAAATCACTTCTGTTTAATTTATACATATAAACATATTGCAAATTTTAATATAATGCAGATAGGTTCCAATGCCGGTTGCACAAACAGCAGTCAGAGATCCTTAAACTCCAAAGATGAGGCTGCAATGACTACTTTAAACCAAGTCGCCTACAAGGCAGTTCCATCACACTGGAAAGAAAGTTATGAAAAAATTCAGGTCAGTCTCACAAGTGTCACATTCTCCCACATCCCACCACATACTCAGATTGTGTCACATTGAGAGTCCCCAAGCCCAGTTGTGTTCCTTGGTCCCAATACCCGCCACTTCCTGCCCTCAGGGTCTCACCATTATTAGCTGTGAGAGACACATCAGAGCCCTCGGCACTGTCGCTGCCTGGGGAAGACACAACAGCAGAGTTATGGGTGGGGGACCCCCCCCTCACAGACTCTACCTTACACTCTCCCAAGGGTCCCAGATGTCACTTCCCTAACATCCAGACTTACAGGCAACCTGAGTGCAGCTCTTCCTGCCTCTGCCTGTGGGAAGAAAACATTCTGTGAGAAGTCAGGGAGAAGGCTGGGTCCCATGACCCTGAAGAAGCCCCACACTCCTGAAGCACGAGGAAGGTTCCACAACTGTGACTGAACACCCAGGGTAGAATCAGGAAATATGGGGAAAGTACATGTGCACAGACTGGACCAGCCTCCCATCTGCACATCTGTCCACATCAGGGACCTCTGCCTCTGACCTGGGACAGCTGGGAATCAGTCCCCATCACTAGAACCATCAGGTGATAAATGTGTCCCTCACTTTCCCACGGGCCTCACTAAAGAGTCAGTGTTAGGAAATAGGCCGCAGATGGACATCACCCATGTGATGACAAGATGCCTATTAATGAGGCAGAACTCACTTCTACCTCAACTTGATCCCCAGGGGGACAGGAAACTCAGCCCCACCCCTTGCCCACCTGAGCACTTCCTCCTCCACAGCACAGCTGCAGTGACCACAGCTCCAAGGAGACCCAGGGCAGCAATGATGCCCACAATGGTGATGGTGGTCTGAGGAGGGGGTTCTGTGAGGGAAAGGTGAGAGGCCAACCTCAGGCCTAAATCTTGACCCTGCTCAGGGACACCCTGAGGAGAGGCTCTGTGCCCACGCCCCCTCCTCACCCGATCTCAGGGTCAGGGGCTCAGGCAGCCCCTGGTGCTGCACATGGCATGTGTATCTCTGCTCCTCTCCAGGGGGCACGGCCACAGCTGCCCACTTCTGGAAGGTCCCGTCCCCAGCAGGCCTGGTCTCCACAAGCTCCATGTCCTGGGTCAGGTCCTCCCCATCACGCTGCCAGGTCAGGGTGATGTCAGCAGGGTAGAAGCCCAGGGCCCAGCACCTCAGGGTGACCTCATGGTCAGAGATGGAGTGGTGGGTCACGTGTGTCTTTGGAGGGTCTGAAGGGAGGGTGAGAAAATTCAGGAACTTTGCATGATTGTGGGACACTCCAGCAGTGCTCTTGTGACCATCCTGAGAGTGGACAGGACAGCTGGGGTGGGGGAAGGGAGTGCACCACCCAGACAGCATCCTGGATAATCCAGACAGGCATCTTGGATAATGTCCTGTTTCTTGGAAAGTTCCAGAATGAGGGTGAGAACCTGGAGTGGAAGTGTCCAGTTCTCTAAGGGGAGACACAGACTCAGGTGGAGGTTGATGACTCAGAAAAGCCAGAGACAGGCGTGTAGAGATGGTCTCAAACTGAGAATGAGCGAGAGCGTCCTGGTACGCTGGAGGGTCTGCAGGGTGTGAGAGAACCGTTGTGGGGTGTTTGAGGGAGAGACTGAGTCCCTTATTTTCCTTTAGAAAAAGATGGGTCTGCAGGTGAATCACATATAAGGAGACTTAGGGGACGCTTCTCTCTCCCGGGCAGGAGGGGAATTCTGACACTGCCCCATTTTCCTTCTCTCCTTCCACCCCAGCATACAGCATACAGATCCCTTCCTCGGGGAGGATCCCGTCCCAGTACCTGCTCGGAGCAGCGTCTCCTTCCCGTTCTCCAGGAACAGGCGGAGCCAGCGCTCGCACGAATCTCCAATGGCGAGCCTCCGTCGCTCCACATCAGGAACTTGCACCAATTTGCGCCAGGTGATCCGAGCAGCTGCGTCCGCGGCGGTCCAGGAGCGCAGGTCCTCGTTCAGCGTGAGGTAGTCGGTGCCGTCGTAGGCGAACTGACTGAACCCCCGCAAGAACCTCGAGTCGGACTCCAAGACGCAGCCACTCAATTCCTGGTAGGTGTGAGACCCTGACCCCGCCCGCAAGGTCAGCCCCGCCCTCTTAGCCCCGCCCCGAGGAGAGGCTGCCCGGACCTAACCCTTCCCAGACCCGCGGTGGTTAAACCTGAACTGAAAATGAAACTGACTCAAAGTTCCCGCGCGCTACTCGCAAGGTGAGGGTTGGGGGGAATCCAGCAGCCTCGGGGTGACGCTGGGACCAGAGACTCGGGGCGACCCCGGCCCGTCCGTGGGGATATGGGGGTCCTTCCCAGCTCTCCAGTCCCATGTGGCTCACCCTCCTCGCTACGGTTGTAGTAGTGGCGCAGGTTGTTCAGGTTCTCTCCGAAAGTCTGTTGGTTGTACTTGCAGACCCGCGTCTTCTCGTCCCAAAAATGTGGGTGCTCCTGCTCCACCCACGGCTGTTCCATCCAGGGCACCCGCGGCTCCAGCCTCGGCCTCGCGGCGTCGCTGTCGAACCGCAAGATCTCCGTGTCGTCCACGTAGCCCACGACGATGTACCGGTTCTTCCCGCGGCCCGGGCCGTACACGGACGTGCTAAAAATCCTCACATCGTGGACGCCTGGGAAGGGGAGGACGCGCGTCCTGGGTTGGTGGTCGGGTGGATAAGAAAGTCCACTGGATTTTCATCCCAGGGAATGGGCAAGAGGGCGGTGGTTGAGAGGAGGGGGCGGGGCCGAGGCGGAGGTCTGCGAGCCGGGCCAGGGGTGCTGCAGACACACCTTCCTCGGCTCCTGAGCCTCTGGCAGGTCTCCTGGCTCCCGCCCCGCAGAGGCTGTTCCCTCCCAACCCCACGCTCACCCGCCCAGGTCTCGATGAGAGCCAGGGCCTCCGAGAGCAGCAGGAGCAGGGCTCTGGGGCCCATGACCCAGACCCTGACAGTCTGAGGAGAATGCATTCGGGTAACCCGGGACCAAGGTGCGGTGACGCTGATTGGCTTGTCTGGAGTTCACGTGCCCAATGGTAATGAGACTTAAGGTTGCGTCATGAGTATCCAGGCGAAGAACCCGACGTAGGTTGTGGAGGAGGAAAAGTGAAACTGGGTGGAGAATGGAAAATCTGGGAGAGAAGGGGTTTCCCTAACACTGAGCCTTCCCATCTCAAACTCAGGCCTCAGGCTGAGACCTTGGAGCCAGGCCTGGGGACCTGATACTCCTCTCCTCCCCCGACCCCCCCCCCCCCCGCACAGAGAGGTCTCTGTCTCTCTGTCTCTGAGTCTCACCCACGGACTGTTTTATTCAGTGACTCTCAAACATTTTGGATTCAGAACAACTATAGTCTTACAAAATAGGGACGACCCCCCAAATAATTTTGTTTGAGTGAGTTATAGCTATCAATATTTACCTTACAAAGGATAAAATGCTTTGAAGAAATTCTTAATTCATTTAGAATAATCTTAATAACCTAGGCCATGCTAACAGAAATTTTTTTTTATGAAAAATAACTATTCCCCAAATATACAAGGTAGTGAGAACAGTGGATCTGCTTCCATTTTACATTTTTGCAAGTCTCAGTGCTTGTCTGTAAAATTAGAAGTCTGCTGGATTTTCATATTTCTGCATTTAATCTTGTATTTTGGTGGCAGTATGTGAAGAAATATACAGCTTCACGCAAATATGTAGAAGTAGCATTTTTAATAACCTTTTCAGGTAAGTGTGGATATTCATCTTTGATCGTACTCTAAAGCCACACAAGTGGTAGTTCCTGAAAAGCTCTTTGCAAAGTGGAACCTGAAATTACACTGTTGAGTATTTCCTATTCTGTTACATTACTTCAGTGGCTCTTGTACTGATGCATTATGACGTGTCTTGGTGTGGGCCTCTTTGGATTCATCTTGTTTGGGACTTTGTGCTTCCTGGACTTGCATGTCTATTTCCTTTGCTGAGTTAGGAAAGTTTTAAGTCATCAGTTTTTCAAATCAGTCTTCCATTCCTTTCTCTCTCTCTTCTCTTTCAGGCACCCCCATGACGCTACTGCTGGTGTGTTGAAGTTGTGCAGAGGCTCCTTACGCTATCATTTTCTTGGATTCTTTTTTGTTGTTGTTGTTGTTGTTGTTGTTGTTGGTGGTGGTGGTGGTGTTCTGATGGGGTGTTTTCTGCTCTCCTATCTTCCAAACTGCTGATTTGATCCTCTGCTTGATCTAATCTTCAGTTTAATCTCTGCAAAATATATCTTTTAATCCTCACCTGGGGACATTTTGTAATTGATTTTAGAGAGAGGAAGAGAGAGGGAGAGAAAAGCATTGATGTGAGAGAGAAACATGGATTATTGCCTCCTGTATATGTCCTGCCCAGGTTTCGAACCCACAACCTAGGTTTGTGCCCTGGTAGGGAATTGAACTCTTAAACTTCTAATGTGTGGGACAACACTCCAAAAGAGCAACTCAGACATAGTAATATTGAGTTTCTTTTTAATTGAAGGTGTCCTGACTGGTGTGGCTTGATCGGTTGGTCCACGTCCAGCAAACCGAAAGACGCCTGCTCCATTCCTATTCAGGGCACATTACTGGGCTGCAGGCCAGGTCTTTGGTTGGGTGCATGCAAAAGACAACTGGTAGATGTTTTTCTCTCACATAGATGATCCTTCTCTCTCAGTTCTCTCTCCCTTCCCCTAAATAAATACATAAATGAAATAAAAAATAATTAAAGGTAAGGCTTTCCACCAGCAAAAACACATTGACTCACTAAAGGCTCAGATGATAGTTGTCATCTTTTAAACAATAAAGTATATTTTAATGAAGGTATGCACACTACTTTTTAGACATAACACTGTTAGCACTTAATGGACTACTGTACAGCATCAACTTAACTTTTATATATGTGGGAAGACCATAAAATTTATGTGACTTAATTTATTGCAATATTCAACTTATTTTGGTGGTCTGGACCTGAAATCGAAATATCTCCAAGAATTGTCTGTATTCCAGATATGAAAATGCTGTGCCATCTACCCAGTACTCAAAAAATACTGATTAAGTCAGTCATCATTGTAAGACACCTCCCTATTATAGTGACAGTGTCTTTATTGATGTAGCCTCAGCCCCAGATGTGCTGTGGTAACACTACAACCTGCAGTCACGCTGCTGTCAATGACCCCGCACTTCCCCACGGTGCTGCTCCCCTAAACCTGCAGGGGCCTCTGCTCTGTGATCCCTGAGTTTGCACTGGGGCCCCCACTAGAGTGAAAGGCCGGGGGAGACGGTGGCTGAGCAGAGCAGAGTCACAGCAGGAACGTGTCTGAGATGAGACATTACAGGCCCCCTGCTCTCTGCTGATTCCAGAACCTGGTTCCCTGGAGGAGGCTGGGAAATGGTGGGAGGAACAATCACGCCCAGGGAGATAAGAGCAGGATGAGTCTGAAACTTCCCCTCTCGACACCACAGATTCCTGAGTGCAGGGGCCACCCTGGCCACTTGGGGACAATGACAGGCAAAATGGCTCCTGTTGCTGTCAGATGGGGACACCCAGAGGAGGATGAGATGAAAAGTCACACACAAACACTACTCAGCCATAGGAAAAGACAGAATACTGCCATCTGTGACCACATGGATGGACTGTGAGAATGTGATGATAAGTGAAAAAGTCAGACAGAAAAAATTAAGAACCCTATGATGTCACTCACAAGTGGGATATAAACCTGAAACTCATGGACACACAGCAGTGTGGTGGTTCCCAGAGGGAAGGGGGTTGGGGGAGAAGGGGCCTAGTACTTGGTGAGGGGAGATGGTTTGACTTTGGGTGGTTGGCAAACAGAGAGACATATAGATTCTGTATCATAGAAATGTGGACCTAAAACTTGCATGACCCTATTAACCAATGCCACTACAATACATTTAATAAAAAGACACACCCTTAACATTCCACATAAAATGCTCCAATAGCTTTATTTTTAAAAAGCCAGAATAGGTACAATATCTACAAAAAAAAAAAAAGAAAAAGAAAAGAGCACAAGTACCCAAAAGATGGGGGCTGAGGACAGACCCAGGCCTGAGTTCAGGCTGATGCAGCCACATGAAGCCCTCACTGAGCACAGTCCTGGAGCCATAATGAGGCCCAGGTGACACTCAAGTTCCTGTGATTGCAGGTCCTAAAGGGACAAGGTTCTCCTGAAGCAGCAAGGACAAAGGAGCGACAAAGATGACCCAGCCGAGGAATGACCAGGATGGAGATGGCCTTGCTCCAACACTGCTAGCACAGGACAGTCCCCAGGGGAGAGGACACAGGTCCCTGTGGGGAGGGTAGCCTGGTGACCAGCTCCTCCAATGAAACTGATAAGGACGAAGACATTCCAATGCCTGTTGGAGAAACAGCAGTCAGGGATCCTTAAAGTCGCAAGGGGAGGCTGCAATGACTGTTTTAGCACCAGGTCCCCTGCACGGCAGCTCTGTCATGCTGGGAAAGAAAGTTGTCATGTACAAATTCAGGTCAGTCTCAGAAGTGTCACATTCTCTCACAGCCATCATATGCTCAAAGTGTCTCACTCTGAGAATCCCCAAAACCCAGCAGTGTCCCTTGGTCCAAATATCCCCACTTCCTGCCCTCAGGGTCTCACCCTTAGGAGCTGTGAGAGACACATCAGAGCCCTGAGCACTGTCCCTGCCTGGGGAAGACACAACAGCAGAGTTGCAGGTGGGGGAGACCCCCTCACAGACTCCAGCCTACACTCTTCCAAGAGTCCCAGATGTGACCTCCCCAACACCCAGACTTACAGGCAGCCTGAGTGTAGCTCTCCCTGCCTCTGCCTATGGGAAGAAAATGTTCTGTGAGAAGTCAGGGGGAAGGCTGGATGCCATGACCCTAAAAGAGCCCCACACTCCTGAAGCACAGGGAAGTTTCCAGAACTGTGTCTGAACACCCAGGGTAGGATCAGGAAATTCAGGGAGAGTACACGTGTGCAGAGTGGACCAACTGTGCTTCTAGACATCTATTCTCAGCAGGGACCTTCCCCTCTGACCTGACAGGTGGGATCAGTCCCCATCACTAGAATCATCAGATGATAAATTTGTCCCTCACTTTCCCATGGGCCTCACTAAAGAGTCAGTGTTGGCAAATAGGCCCCAGATGGACAAGCACCCGTGTGGGGACATGATGCCTATTAAGGAGGCAGAGCACACTTCCACCTGGGCTTGACCCCAGGGGACAGAAAACTCAGCCCCACCCCTTGCCCACCTGAGCACTTCCTCCTCCACAGCACAGCTCCAGTGACCACAGCTCCAAGGAGACCCAGGGCAGCATCGATGCCCACAATGGTGATGGTGGTCTGAGGAGGGGGGTCTGAGGGGAAGGTGAGAGGTCAACCTCAGGCCTGAGTCCTGACCCTGCTGAGGGACACCCTGAGGAGAGGCTCTGTGCCCACATCCCCTCCTCACCCCATCTCAGGGTCAGGGGCTCAGGCAGCCCCTGGTGCTGCACATGGCATGTGTATCTCTGCTCTTCTCCAGGGGGCACGGCCACAGCTGCCCACTTCTAGAAGATTCCATCCCCTGCAGGCCTGGTGTCCACAAGCTCCATGTCCTGGGTCAGGTCCTCCCCATCACGCTGCCAGGTCAGGGTGATGTCCGCAGGGTAGAAGCCCAGGGCCCAGCACCTCAGGGTGACCTCATGGTCAGAGATGGAGTGGTGGGTCACGTGTGTCTTTGGAGAGTCTGAGGGGAGGGTGAGAAAATTCACGAACTTTGCATGGTCATAGGATACTCCAGCAGTGCTCATGTGACCATCCTGAGAGTGGACAGGACAGTGGGGGTGGGGAAGGGAGAGCAACACGCAGACACCAGCCTGGACAAGGCACATGGATAATCTATTTCCTGGAAATTTCCAGAATCAGAGTGAGAACTTAGGATAGGAGTGTCCAGGTCTCTAAGGGAGACACAGACTCAGGGGGAGGCTGATGACTCAGAAAAGCCAGAGTCAGGCCTCTAGAGAAGGTCTCAG